CTTTTCAGAGAATCTCAATGCTCGATTAATACTTGTGCAGTTTACGTTTATCACAAGTATCGATTTCAAACGAAAATCGACGATTTGAAGTAGTTTTGATTTGGAAAATCGTGGAATTTGTGTGCGATCAATATCGATTTGCTGTTGTTTATGGTTCATAGCAATCGGTCTCTCACGCAATTGGTTAGGAGGTCATTGGCTTAAATACTACATAGTGGGTGGTGAGACTGAAGGATCTTTTGGAGTTGAGGGCTAATGATCACTGTGTGTTACCTCTTMTTGTTGTCTTGAGATATTAAGCTCTGTACAAAATATAAAGAAGCTACATCAGATCAATTATGTCTMTGTATTAGTAATGAGGTAAACTCTCAATCATGTGATGTGCATTATGAGGCAACAAAGTAAATGCTGGTTACTTGTGTATGTTGAGCTTAATGGGTTATGCTTTGTCCTTTTATCTTCTGGAATTGCTGAGGAGTGTCTCTAATTCTAATCAACATGGTAATTAGCAAGCCAGCTGCATTTGGTGCCATTTTTTTGTGTAAAAGCAAATTGCCAGGTTGTTTCTCTTCACTTTTGTCATTTTGATTGAAATGGTAGTTGTTGGAGTTGACATAACCATCTTGGTGATGATTATTTCTTTTGTTGCCTCACCATCCCACTTTATAGATGATCATTTCTTCATCTTTTGGCTAATTGTAAGATTTGGCTAAATGTGGGTCTTTTTGTTTTCTACATCTATGATTGTTTCTTGTGATATTGTTTGTTTATAAGAGTTATCCATTCTGAATTGTTTGGTTTACTGCAGCAGCGGGAGATCAGGCAGTGAGTAGCTGTTGTTTACTCGTGCACAACTTCATACGGAAGGAAGGTTTAAGTGATGAGCTATTTTCTGAGTATGATCAAACCAGCGAACAAGAGAACGATGGCGAGGATGAAGCTGAAGAGATTCAATCGCATGGGAGTGCCGCTGACCAAACATATATGGCTAGTTTAAGAGAAGAAATTGCGACACAATTACAAAATGAATATTGATTMTAGTTGTTATGAGACTTTATTCGTGTTTTCTATTGTGTTTTGAATCAATTGACGTATTTCAATTGAATTTTTGAATGTGTTAAAAGTATGTGGTAGTTTACAAATGGTTTAAATGATTGGATATTTCAGTTAAATTTAATTGAAATGAATTGATTCAGATTTCAGACTTCAGAAGTTTGTCAGTTTACAAAAACAAACAATCTTATTGATTCAGATTTCAGATTTCAGACGTAAAAACAAACAGTCTGACTGATTCAGATTTCAGA